GGGGGGGGGGGCGCGCGAGGTATCCGCGCACCCCGGAGGAACCCGCAACGGAATCACGCCAGCACTTTAGAAAAGTTATCAGAAAGAACTCCCCCAACAAGTGTCGCCCTTCTTACAGCCGCCAGCCTCGCCGGAGCGGCGGGGAACCCCACCCCNCCCACCCCGCCAGCACGCCAATCTCGCCGCGGCGAGGCGGGTGCGCGCCTACCTTGTGATCCAGGCGCCCCAGCCCCGGGCTGTCACTCCGCAGGCAGCAGGACAGCCGCGGGTAGAAGCCGGCGCACGGCATCTCTCCCCCACTCAGCAGCTCCAGCTGGGACATCATCCGCCTATCTCTCCTTTTCAGGCGCTTCGGGGGGTTCCCATTCAGGCACCTTCTCCTCCTCACTCCGCTCCCTTCACTTCTTTCCCCAAACTTAGCATCTCCTTCGAAGAAGCCCAGAGCCGTGGTCAGCAGCAGCAGCTTAAATGAGAGCATCTTCAGCATCGTCTGCCCGGAGCGGCCGGGGCTGGGCGCGGGCGAAAGGGGGGGCAACGCCGCTGCCCGGCAAGGGCACTAGGGCGCAGCTCCAGGAGGAGGCTGCGGGGCGGCGGGACACTCGCGAGGCAGAGGGAGGTGGCAGGGGCGATGCAACTTCGCAAAAAAAAAAAAAAAAAANAGGCGATGCGTCCAAGGCCCTGGGGGAGCCCGAGGAGCGAGAGAAAGTTGTGCGGATGACACCGTGTACAGCTGTGCCAGTGTCAGTGGGGCTGGGGGCTTTCTGCTGCGCCGGGGCAGTGGGAGGAGAAGGAGTTGGAAGCAGAGGAGAAGCCGGCCACAGAGGCTCACTTGTCCGTGTAACGGGAGTTGTTTAGGTGAGACAGTAGCAGGAACGGAGACGGCGGCGGCGGGGCAGGCGAACGCAGGGCCAGCGCTGGGCTCTGGATGATGCTGAGGTCTCCTCTGCCGGCGGCTGCAGCTTCTCACACAGCCTCTCATGTTTCGTTCCCTCTTTTCTTCTTCTTTTTAACTAGCGCGCGGGGAGGTGCTGCCACCGCGCGCCCCTTGACG